AGAAAAGAATCAAAGTCATCATAAGCTGAGAAGCAAACCTCCCCAGCTGGGGAGGTTTGCTTCTCAGTTGAGGAAGGCAAGGAAGGAGTGAAAAGAAAATGATCAAAGACGTCATATGTCGACGAAGTGGTGATGTCCTGATACCTATCTCTTTCATCTTCTGTACCCGGCCATAACTTGTCACACAATTTTTTCATTGCAGTTGTGACGATGTACCCAACGCCAAAACCGATGGGAAAACATAAGCCAAGAAAAATTTCTGCCATACTGGAAATCCTTCTGAAAAAGCAGTGGTAAGGTCCGAAGAGTTGGTTGGATATGAACTGGTGTTTTGAAACAGAAGCATTCATAACCTGAGGTGTTCTTTGATCTAGAATCGCATGTCATAGATGATGATGTCATAGATGATGATGTCATAGTTCTGGGGAAAGTCTTGCTTCTGCTCATTGCTATGGAAACGATCAGACCAGTTCTGCATGACCCAAACTATTAACCCTTTGCTACAGCATCACTCATTCATTCGAGATGCCATGATGTTGTGGACATTCAATTAATGAGTCACCTCAAAGTTCTTTGATGGTCGTAAAATAGCTATGATGTTTGATTCTGGGGAAGAAAGTGTAGGAAATGTTTCATGGGTTGCTTTTAGCCCGAAACTATATGGGGCATCCTTGGGGCATCCTTGGGGCAACCTTGGGGCATCCTTGGGGCATCCTTGGGGCAACCCGAGTCACTAAAACCAACCTGGTTCAGTAACAAGTGCAAGTTGTAATTAGGCCTGTCGCGATAAACAATAAATCAATTAATCACAGGATAAATTAAAACTATCGACCTCATTTCAATTATCGGCTTTGTCATTTCTTGTGGCCTTTTTCTCTTTCTGTTGATGTCACTGAATGAAAACAGACTCAACTCCGGTGCTCTCCACTGACCCTCCCTTCCTCATTTCTTTAGTGTAATGCCCAGCGCGCGCTGCACGATCTTAGAGCTGTCGGTCGATTGTCGGCCTATTTTCAAAACCTGAGAGACCACACATTAGCCAACAGAAATTCTAGGTATAACGGTTTGATTGAAATGTGTGATGTCCAACAATGGGCACAAAATAATAAGTCCAGTTAACTAATTTTAAAACCAGACATTAATCAGTGCTTTACTATAATCTACCCACAATGCATATGGCTAGTATCAGTCCTGTCTGAAGGAAAATCATTATAATCTATTTAGGTCACTTTAACAAAGAACAGCTGAAAAGTTACTGGGTTTATCAACTGCAGTAGAAATTTTGCTCCAACTCCTTCCAAGGAGAATCCGTGCTTTCTGATTGGCTACCTGTCACATTCAACAGACTGTGTTAACGCTTCCAGTCAGGGAAAACCCCTGATTTAGATGAGAGCGGTAAAGTGTATCTGTCTTTGGCAGGAAATCGCATGTATTGTTACATAATTTTCATTAAATCAGTGTAAAAAGGTCTTCAAACAATATTATCGTTTATCGCAATAATTTTTGAGACAATTAATCGCTCAGCAAAACCTGTTATTGTGACAGGCCTAATTCCATGTCATATTTTCTTGGCTGTAACATTTTTTCTTTTGGATTTTCAGTGGCTCTGACCTTATCTGGGTCCACAGTGATGCTCCATGTGCAGCTAATGCCATTGTCGTAGCTGCTGGGGTAGTTCCAGCTGGTGAAGGTGCCCGACTCACCAGTCAAATCCTGCAGTCCTCCACACCCTGGACATCAAAGACAAATGTTGAAGTTTGGCAGTGCAGCAGAGAGAAGCTTTAGAAAGCATCATTGATTTGTAAGCTTTAAAAAATTCATTATATTACATTAAGAGGATTATTTTTATTATTATTATTATACGGTTCACATACAAGTTGTATATATTTGGAAGTGTGAATGACCCCCTTCATTTATTTTCCAAAAATAAATGAAAAATTTGATCTCACAATAAATAAATAAATCTGAATTGAGCAAATGGGCAAACAGAACCACTATTGTTCTGACCCAAACGTTTTGCACTTTCTAGTCCTGTTCTGCTATGAAAAGCAGACGTGTTCAAGTAGTTTGATTCTTTCAATTCTTTACTTTGGTTTTGTCTTCTCCAACTTTTCCCTTCATTACAGTTAAGTATAAGAACTCCAAATTCCTTGCAGAAAAATTAGCTAGCATTTAAACCTCTACATCACATTACATGTTAATGAGTTATGTTTTTATTCAGAAATGTATCAGTCTTTCAGAACTTATTTGGACAAATGTGTTCATACAATGTTTTCTCTTTGTTCCTTTTTCTGCATTTGATTCAAGTGTAGATTAATGCATTTTGCTTTTGTTTTAAGCTTTCTTTTTTTATTGCTGTGTTGCAGGAGATGACCTACAAATTAGTTTTTAACTTCTGCACAGAAATGGATGTTTTTTTCGAATTCTGGCTTCAAGGCCCCTTTTTGCCTCCCGAGCAGTAAAGTATATTAACCGTTTTACTGCAGCTGCTAATGTAACATTGAGCTCCCTGATTGTGATAATTTTGCTTTTCTTGCAATCAGCAGAATTTGCCTAATTTTCCCAAAGTCAGTTCTGAATGCTTCACCACAACTTCTTGTTCCTTCTCTACTGTCTTGCGTCTAAATTAGCTTATTTTCAAATGATAAAATACTCACCTTTTGATGGAGCAGAGGGATCAGGCTTGTCTGTAAAGTAGAGGGCAATAAGGGCGACGCAAACACATGACAATGTAATGAAAAGAAACATCAACATTATCTCCAGGTTGCTCAGTGCCCTGGACCGACGTTTTCCCTTCTCCACATCCATTTTCCTCTCTGTGACGGAGATGCACCAGACTGAGCCTTCTTCACAAATTCACCGGCTTATTAACAATCCAAGGAGAAACGAACCTGAACTTTGACCACAGCTGTGAACCTTGAGCCTGCTCAGATGGGGCATTAGAGCCTCTCACCTGGGGAGTGTACAGATTGGGATCAAGCCATAAATCAAACAGTATCAGAAATGAAGTGTAATAAGTGTTGATGTCTAAGTGGTCCAATCAGTGGGTTGTTTCAACACCTTCAAGAGAGATGGCTGACGGAACAGATTAAAGTCGACACTCTCACCTACGTAACATTGAGCTACTTTTTACAGCCGATGCATCAAATTCTCAATTATTTGAAGAAAAATATATTGAATTGCAAGTCCAGTTTTTACTGGTGTGGAAACAAATAAAAAACAGTAATTGATCAAAGAACATTTGTCTAAAAGAGTCCAATTAAATGATCATTTAAAGCGTTTCTGAAGCTAAATTTGAAACTTTTGACTATCAAACAGGAAAATGTGAAACAATTATACTATTTTCTGATCAATTTCTGTTTGACCGTTTTCACATCAACAGGGCTAACATGTCTGCAATCATTTTCTCAAGCACATTCTCATTAGTACAGCACTATTCATACAAGATCTAAGCCATTTTGAGACAGAAATCAAACAAAATAAAGATTTCTGCTGAAATGAAATAAAACCAAGTAGTTTATAACAGACATTATTGTAACATCATTAGTATCAATGGAAGGGACCAAAATAAGACATTTATCCAGCAGGATCTATAACTTTCAGCTCCTTCTTCTTCACATTTTTGTATCTTCATTATGTGTCCAGTCTCATTGTTCCAACCCTTTAGTGGGTAAGAAGAGGACTTGCCACAGGTACATCCATGCCTTTGGATTTTTAAAAGTATCACTTCCATGATTTCTATTTCCATGGCCACCATTTGCATAGCCTAGCAGATTTTATTAGTACAGCACTATTCATACAAGATCTAGGTAATTTAGATTTGAATTACTTCAACGAGTTAAAGATTTCTTAAGGTGGACTCCCTTGAGCATCCTCCTTTTCAGAGATTTCACAGAGACGCACAGGCTTTAATTTGACAAAAGTGCAGGGGTGAGAGTAGGGGACCTTCATGCTTAATTGAATGTCCATTCAAAAACACTTGACTGTTTTTTTCCCATAATAATAATTGGACTCTCTTCTGCTGAGAAAGGATCTGAAGCAGGAATCTTTCTCTAATTAATGCATTTTCTCCATGATTTGGACTCCATTGTTGAAGTTCTGAAAAGAGCACCGATGTGACAAAAGCTGCTTATCAAGCAGCTGAAGCCGGTGAAAAAAATGATTCTTTGAACAGAAAGATATCTGCAGAACTCATTATTACAGGGATTAAAGGTCGATAGGCTACATTTGTGTGCATCTGTCAGTCTTGGTTCTCTTTCCTTTCTGTTCCCCCTCTATTCGT